CTGTTATTAGGATAATACAGCTAGTTATAAATACTCCAAATAACCGACTCAACTTCGCCATTGTTAAACACTGTAAATAAATTATATCCTGGTAAAATTTAACAGGGTTGACAAGAGTTTTAAATCACATGCTTCTATTGAAACACCTGGAAAGGTTTCTGAACACAAACTTATACAGACGTTCTCTCACGCGACGACTCGATACCACGTGACTTACGACAATCATATATCGTCTGCAACCAAGCGTTTTGCTGTTTGCTGTGAAATCTGCATTCACCTTACACCGTGCCAATAGTCTTCCAAGTCTGTTTAGCCTTTATATTGGAAAACCCTTTTAACTTAATCAAACCCGACACTAGCCACTTTCGTAGGCTAAATGGCCAAAAAGTGAATAGAGCTGCGGGCTTCCATTCGCAGTTCTTGAATGACATACGAGACCAAATAATCCATATTTAATATACGTATAAAGAGAGCATTGTACGTGTTAAGATTTGGCTTCAACGGTCTCTATAGTATATCATAATTCATCGTATATCAATCATTTTCCCAGTTTGACAACACAATGAGGACTTGGCCATGCTTATCCAACATAAATTTATATTAAAGAATAAACCGAGGTCCCGTGTATACAGTGGAATGCACGTAAAAGATCCCCTGGCAGTTGGAATTCGATATAAGAGTAGGCGATAGTGCCGCTGCCCGTGCAAAATTTCCCTCATAGCACACTGTATGGCGTATGCCCGTCTTCATTAGCCCAGTTTAGGAGTAGAACAGTAGGACGTTAAACCCCATTTCATTTCATTTCATTTCATTTATATTAAAGAAAAAACAGTGCAAGATTTATCTAGAAGTGTGTATACTTTAATACAGCCATTAAGAGCTGCTTAGCATACACGCCTTTCTTCTCTCTTTTTTTGTAAACATGACAGCGGTTTCTCTTTAATCTGAGGGGGGTTGGATGGCTGAATGGTTAGCGTGTGCGCGCTGTATCATAAAGTCTGTCATTGAGTCGACTGGCGTGGTTTCGAATCCCCGGTTGTACGTGGCAAGGAGTAGGGTCGCCTGTCCAACCTCGTGGGTTTTCTCCGGTTTCCTCCCACTGCTAAAGACCCCTACGCGCAAGCGAATTATGTAAATAAAATTAAACCATATGTTAGTCCCGAAATGACCTAGTTTGTGTCGAGTGGACGTTAAACCCCATTTCTCTCTCTCTCTCTCTCTTTAATCTGCCCTCGATGGCCGATAAGGAGAGACAAGTTACAGATAAAAAAAACTAATTTGTCACTTGTGTATTTACCATAAAAGTCACGCAGTAAATAAATTAATTAAAAGAAAGAATGCCTATCGTCATTTGTTAACTACATTCTTGGACCTGTCTTGAATTTTGATACATTAACATTATGCAAAAGTATGCAATAGAAACCATTATCGGGTATTCGGGTCCACAACTCCCAAGGTTACCGAGAGAGAGAGAGAGAGAGATGCACGACCGACCCGACTCCTTGTCAGGTACTAGCGGGGAATCGAATAATAAAAGATACAATATGGGAAATAAGATAAAGTATGCAAAACTATGCAACGGAAACCATTAGCGGGTCCACAACTCCCCAAGGTTAGAACGGAAACAGCAGATTTCAGATGCCGTTAACCATTTCCTCTATTTCCAATTCGATTAGTATGCATGATCAATCGGCAGTTGCAGGAATTGCTTCATCTATTATATTAAATAACCGTATGGATAATCTCCGTTATTACTGTTGAAATGAAATGAAATGAAATGGAGTTTAACGTCCTACTGTTCTGCTCCTAACCTGGGCTAATGAAGACGGGCATACGCCATACAGTGTGCTATGAGGGAAATTTTGCCCGGACAGCGGCACTACGGCCTACTCTTATATCGAATTCCAACTGCCAAGGGATCTTTTACGTGCACGCCAATGTGTACACGGGACCTCGGTTTTTCGTTCCATCCGAACGACTAGACAGCTTTCCTTGTCAGCCCCTCCATCCTGCATCACTGACAAGGGAGAACCACGCCGGAAAAGCTGGATGAACTTTCTCGGCCAATGCAGGGATCGAACACCCGACCTCCAGGCTAGCGAGCTAGCGTCTTACCCACTTAGCCACGTGATCCCCCTATTACTGTTGAAGCATTTGGCTAAATGTATTAAAGGACATGTGGAAGTGAAATGAAATAAAATGGTTTAGAACTGAAATAAAATGGGCATTAACGTCCTACTGTTCTATTCCCATGCTGGACTAATGAAGACGGGCATACGCCAGACAGTGTAATGTGCTATGAGGGAAATTTTGCCCGGGAGCGGCACTAAGACCTACTCATATATCAAATTCCAACTACCAAGGGATCTTTTACGTGCACGCCAATGTATACACGGGACCTCGATTTTTCGTCCCATCCGAAAGACTAGACAGTTGTCCTTGTCAGGCACCCCGTCCTGCACCACTGATAAGGGGGAACCACGTCGGAAAATCCCGATGAACTTTCTCGACCGAGGCAGGGATCGAACCGCGACCTCCTGGCTAACATGCGCGCTGCAACATAAAGTCTGTCATTGAGTCAACTGGCGTGGTTTCGATTCCCTGGTTGTACGTGACAAAGAGTAGGGTTGCCTGTCCAACCTCGTGGGTTTTCTCCGGGTCCTCCGGTGTCCTCCCACTGCTAAAGACCCCTACGCGCAGGCGAAGTATGTAAATAAAATTGAACCATATGTTGGTCCCGAAATGACCTAGTTTGTGTCGAGTGGACGTTAAACCCATCTCTCTTTCTCTCTCTCTCTCTCCCCCTCTCTCTCTCTCTCTCTCCCACTTAGCCACCGTGGCTCCCGAAAAGAAAACAAACGATAAGAAAAAAACAACACCTCGTATGATGAATGTGAATTTCTTGGAATAAAAAAAAAACATCAAGCAATAAACGTGAGCGTTTATCTCTTCTGTTAAATCAATACTTATAGCATTTTAATTGGCCTGTTATGAATTACAACTGTCATTGTATCCGGTCTGTTTCCCTGTCATATTTATTGGCTATTTATAGCTTGTGTTATCAATATCTGGATTTATACAACCCTTATTGATCCCCTGAACTATACTGCACAATTTAATATATAAATTATTAATGTGTAATTTAATTAGCTTAGTTCATGTAACTATGTTAATTGTTTGCCATGCTGCAATAATTGATGGATATGGATCCACTGGGTAAATTACTCACGAACGCTGTAGCTATACGGACGTCCCAAATAAATAAGCAAATATCCACTAAGAGAGATTATGTAAGTCGTATGCCATCATCTACATGTACGCTTCCTGGGGATGGGCGCGTTGTATCATAAGGTCTGTCATTGAGTAAACTGAGAGAAATGGGGTTTAAAGTCCACTCGACACAAACCAGGTCATTTCGGGACTAACACATGGTTCAATTTTATTTCAATAATTCGCTGGTGCGCATAATGTATCTTTAATTAGAGGGAGAGAGAGAGAAATGGGGTTTAACGTCCACTCGACACAAACTAGGTCATTTCGGGACTAATATATGGTTCAATTTTATTTCAGTAATTCGCTTGCGCGTAGGGGTCTTTAGCAGTGGGAGGAAACCGGAGAAAACCCAAGAGGTTGGAAAGGCGACCCTACTCCTTGTCACGCACAACCGCGGAATCGAAACTACGCCGGTTGACTTAAGGACAGACCTTTTGATACAACGCGCACGCGCTACCCTCTCTCGACCCCCCCCAGGTATACCATACTGCACACAGCGATCCACCTACGTCATACGAGAATTGATATTCTCAGCCGGAGCTAGCTGTAGATAGGCAGCCTAAGTTTGGGATGCAGGTATACCTCACTCTCTCTCTCTCTCTCTCTCTCTCTCTCTCTCTCTCACCAGTTTATTATAATAATAAAGAGCAAATTTAAAACAACAATTCAGTTACAATGACGTATACAATGTTTCCATCTTGAAATAAAACTGGTGGTACTGATGTCACAATAGGTTCAGTTGGGTTCATTACAGTACAAATAATACTTCGTACAAAAACTATTCCCGAGAAGATTTTATAACAGAAGGAAGTAGGTTTTAACTATTGCCAAATTTTATCGTATTATAATGTCATTTACATGTGTTTGTTTGTCAGTGTCATGGCAGACACGTTGATAAAACAGAAGGAATTAAACTTTTAAATTAACTCGTTTAATTTGCACGCGTAGTTTAAAAAGAAAAAAACGACGCGTGGGATCTACTGTTAATTTCTGAACCAAAAACATCATCCGGTTTTCTCATCAATTAAGCATTAACGTGGTATTCGCGATCTAATTTGGGATTAGCGATGAGAGTTTTGCTTGCTGGAATTCTCATACGTTTTTCTACATTCACTTTTAGTTGGAAGTTTTGATGACGTAAACGTATCACGAATGATAGAACCATACTGATAACGAAGGCTAAATCTATTTGTTAAGGCCGGCTCAATTTTTGTCAAGGTCGTTGAGCTGTGAATAAAGTTAGGGCACGTAATTGTTGGCAAGATTGTAGGTTAGGGTTAGTATTAGGGCTAGGTCCAGGGTTGGGTTTAGGGTAAGCATTGGGGCTTGGTCCAGGGTTAGGGATTAGCGCTAGCTCTGTTTACATCTCGTGACCTATGACGAAAAATTGAGCTGGCCTTATCATTTAGCACTAACTGATAACTAATGTGTTGTTTCAGAAATAATGGTTATATCATAATACTCCCGTCGATATTTCTCTATGCATTACCTTTCAATGAAAGGTCTCTAATGAGTTCCAGTCTGTTATTACCTGAGTTTCTGGCACCTGAGTCTGTATGTTTATGTTGCAATTTGTTGTGTTATCGGCGTTTCAAATATATTAAAAATATAACCAATTTCCACATTAAAGGTTGTTAAAAGATTAAATGTTTTTCATCTGTGGAGGGTGTGTACGGCATGTGTGTTATCTTCAAGATAAGATAGAAGTTGCATTCCACCATTTCGGGGCGGGGGGGGGGGGGGTGGATGGCCGGATGTTTAGCGCGTGTGCGTTGTATCATAGGTTATATCATTGAGTCATTTAGATTCCCCGGTTGTACGTCACAAGGATTTCCTCCCACTGATAAAGACGCCTACGCGCAAGCGAATTATTAAAATAAAATTGAACCATGCGTTAGTCCCGAAATGACGTAGTTTGTGTCGAGTGGACGTTAAACCCATCTCTCCCTCTCTCTCTCTCTCTCTCTCCGTTAGATACAGATACCCCGTGAATTAAACCGCTTCTCTTTATGAATGTCGAGTGGACGTTACCCTTCCCCCACCCTCTCTCTCTCTAATTAGTTTCTACCTCAAAATATAATCTGTGATGACGTTTAAATGTTCATAATAAGTATCATTCTACTATTGCTAACCTGGAGGTCGGGTGTTCGATCCCTGCATTGGCCGAGAAGGTTCATCCAGATTTTCCGCCGTGGTCTCCCTCGTCAATGATGCAGGACGGAGGGCCTCAATCGTCTAGTCGTTCGGACAGGACAAAACCAAGGTCCCGTGTACACATTGGCGTGCACGTAAAAGATCCCTTGGCAGTTGGAATTCGATATAAGAGTAGGCCCGGGCAAAACTTCCCCCATAGCACACTGTATGGCGTATGCCCGTCTTCATTAGCCCAGTAGGAGCAGAACAGTAGGACGTTAAACCCCATTTCATTTCATTTCATTTATCATACCTGTATTATTCAATATCAGGTAAAACTTGTATGATTTTAAATGTAGAGTTGGATTCTATCACAAGATATGTCGACCCCCGTGAAAAACCTGCAGAATACAGGTAATTGGTAGTTACTTTAATCTAAATGCATCAAGAGGTATTTACACAACACTCCATCCACTTTCCAGGTATTTGAAGAGATGTTTTTAAACATCTCACCTGCTTGACTAATGAGCTATACCACCTGTTATTAACGGTAAACTGTGAACCCTACCACCAAGCCAATTCAACCAACACGACCGCCACAATTTCAATTGTTTCTCTACGAGTTTTGTTAGTTTTAAAATCGATTCAACTCGAGGCCATGTGCCAACATTTTCTCTAAAGCAAACACAGCTTGTTCTGCCAGTCAAAGAAATCTGAAAGCTACTTTCGATTTATTTTAATTTAGTATTAATGACTGTAGTCCTCGTTGTTTACCTTTTCATCGTGACTATTAAGTTATAAACGTGTCACCCACTCCTAGACAGGGATATTACAATAGCATGGTCAGGATCCCTACACGAATCCCTAGAAAGGTTCTCGAAACACCGCGTATTTAATGGTGGTCCACGTGCTCAGACAATAGCTAAATGGACACAGTCCCTCTATTGTATGTATGTTGGTTAAGGGAAATACGACCCTATGCCCATTGTTAATATTTGTATAGCTTGGGTAATGTATTCTTGTTTTGTGTATTTTTTTCTCAAATATTGGTATTGTTGAGGTAAAGCACAAATGAGTTATCTAATTATCGAATTACCAATACTAGTGATTAATCGATAAAGGAATAATCCATGACGCACACGTTAGTGTAATTTTATACCGGGTGGTTGTTCAGAAGAAAATAGAAATTAAATGTTGTTTAAAGTTCTACTGTTCTACTCCGACTGGGCTAATGAAGCCGGACATACGCCATACAATGTGCTATGAGGGAATTTTGCCCGGACAGCGACGCTACGGTCTACTCTTATATCGAATTCCAACTGCCAGGGGATCTTTTACGTGCATGCCAATGTGTACACGGGACCTCGGTTTTTCGTCCCACCCGAACGACTAGACAACTGTCCCTGTTAGACCCCCCCCCCCCGCCCTGCACCATTGACAGTGGGAAACCAACTTTCTCGACCCACACCGGGATCAAATCCGGGACCATCAACCAAGCGAGCCAGCGTCTTATTTTCTTAGCCACCGTGGCTCCCAAAAGAAAACAGACTGGTAAATCTGTAACTAGTGTCAGGATCATTAGGTCTTTTACAAAGAGAGCGGAGTATAACTTTACCACTACAACGGTAAATTCTCAAGTTTTAAATAGGTTTACCACATGCACTGACAGACCAGTGGACACCTTTCTTTATTAAGGGGTGGTTCTGGCACATAATTTGTTGTGGGATATTGTTATGGAATTTTAATGCTAATGGTGCTTAGATATTTTATTGGAACCCGGGGCCTACTTGTAAGAAGAGATATCAAATATCGAAATAAATTAGCTGCTTACAGTAATGATTAATGACAATTAATGTCAGAGGGAGGTTTAACGTCAATACGACACAAACTAGGTCATTTCGGGACTAACATATGGTTTAATTTTATTTCAATAATTCGCTTGCGCGTAGGGGTCTTTAGCAGTGGGAGGAAACCGGAGGACCTGGGGAAAAGCCACGAGGTTAGACAGGCGACCCTACTCCTTGTCACGTACAACCGGAAAATCGACACCACCTCAATTGACTCAATGACAGACCGTATGATACAACGCGCACGCGTTACCCATTCGGCCACCTCTCCCGTCAGGTGAATACTAACACTAGATACACCTAGCCTATATCAGACTGGATTTTTAAAATCCTTAAGACCGTGGTAAGGATGCCACCTAACAACATGGCATACAGATCACCACTTAGCCACTTTGGGAGAAAAAATGCCACCCTCAAATTTCTTATGAACTATAAAACACAACACGACCAACCGTTCATTCGTCCATGGGAATTTACGTCCACTCCCACTTAGGGTGATATCTTAGACAAACTTAGCCACTTGGGAGAAAAAATGCCACCCTCAAATTCCTTATGGGCTATAGAACACGACATGTCCAGTCGTTCATGGGGTTTTACGTCCACATCCACCTAAGGCAGTGATTCTCAACCAGTGTGCCGCGGCGTCGCGATCTTCCTAAGTGTGCCGCGAAATTTTGAACGGTACACTAAGAAAATGTGAAAAACCACGTGACCCCAATTGAGTATTCACTGGTGTCTACTGATAAGTTCATAGCTGTGTTTTTCTTTATTTAGTTTGAGTCATTCTATGTTTATATGGCTAGTTTCTGTCTACGGTTGCATATATATTTAGTCAGGTGTGCCGCTATTTTTTCCATGTGTTCCATGGTGTGCTGTGGACAAAAAAAAGATTGAGAACCACTGATCTAAGGTGATATCGTAGACAAAACTAAGGACTAATCCTTGATAATCTTTTAACACCAACCCATTGATGGCCTATTTACCGTGTGAATAATTTTAATCCCCCAAATGTATTTTCAGATAGTGGATAGCTTTCCTAGTACGATTTTTAGCACGCCGGACCATAGACCACTTTTACACCCATTGGAGTATAGCGAAACGTTATAAATCAACCGTATAATTTATTACCCACCTTTTCAATGTAGGTAAAAACCAATATATCTACAGGTAGACATACGTGAAATTAAATCCCGGGTCAATAGGTCATGGGTTAAGCATGCAGAAGAATTCAAATTAAAATATCATTTAAAATAGCAATGTGATATGAGGCTCGTCAAAGTGATAACAACAACAAAGTCATAAAGACGGCACTGTCAGCTTTATGATGCTATGGAAACTGTCGAGTACAATGTCAGGGGATAGACGCAGATTAATTCAGTTATTGGGACGTTTTGCTTGATTTGATGGGTTGATTAATGAGATGTTCGGGTAGATTAATCTAGTTATTGGGATGTTACTCGGGTTGATAGGCCATGCAGTGTGAATGAGTTTTATGCCATTTGGTTTATGAAATGCCCCAGTACGTGATCATCAGTGAATGAAATGTTGCATGTTGTGACAGTTATATCCTCGATTGACGCAAGGTTCTCCACAGCTTACAATAATGAACGGACCATTAGTTTTCTCTTTGGGAGCTGGATCACATCTTATTTAATGTGGCTGAAATTATAGTGCAGATAATAGCTAGCAACATGGGGGCCACGGTGGCTAAGTGGTTAGGACGCTGGCTCGCTAGCCTGGAGGTCGGGTGTTCAATCCCTACATTGGCCGAGAAATGTAGGACATTAAACCGCATGGGCATTTCATTTCATTTCTCCACAGCCTGGGGGGTTGGATGGCCGAATGGTTAGCACGTTCGTGCTGTATCATAAAGCCTGTCATTGAGTCGACTGGCGTGGTTTCGAATCCCCGGTTGTACGTGGCAAGGAGTAGGGTCGCCTGTCCAACCTCGTGGGTTTTCTCCGGGTCCTCCGGTTTCCTCCCACTGCTAAAGACCCCTACGCGCAAGCGAATTATGTAAATAAAATTAAACCATATGTTAGTCCCGAAATGACCTAGTTTGTGTCGAGTGGACGTTAAACCCCATTTCTCTCTCTCTCTCTCTCGACAGCCTACAATAATAAACGAACCATTAATTTTCTCTTTGAGATCTGGATCACATCTTATTTAATGTGACTATGCAATTTTAAAGCAGATAATAGCTAGCAACAAGCTTTCATAAAAACAGCTTAGTCAGCTCAAAGAGTTAAAACATTTTTTATCGTTATTCTCGATGCCTTAACGTAATGTTTATCGACAGCACCGGTATTTCTTGATGACATCGCCAGCAAAATGTCAACATTTGATTCATAATTCCAATAAAGCGTGATGAACACGTGAAAAAAAATCGCTTTTTGTTATAGATTGACACATTGCGAGGCCTTGGTAATTTCACGGATGTGAAGCTCAATGAATGTTGATTGTCTTAATGATTTTTTTTCTATTTTTAGGAAAGAGTTTATAATGGGGAAGAATAAAAAGGGTAAAAAGGCAGCAACTGTTTCCACAGACAAGAAACCTGGTGGTGTAAAGAAGCATAAAGCTAAACCAGTGGCTACCAATCTTAAAAGGGTAAGATGTAATATATTTAGGCCAAATCAGAAAATACCTTTGGCCTTTAAAAAAACACAGTCTGATTAAAGATAGGTTCCCAGAAAAGTATTTATCGGGTGGTTATTTCCAATAAAAGTATGGCAATTTTGGTATATATAGAAAGTAGAAATATCCAATCTTACTAGAAAAATACTGGATGCCCTGAAAAACACTCATGGAGCGCATACAGGACAAAACTGTAAGGGTTTCCCTAATCGACAGCCCGACGATTAGGAGTGTCTGCACGCGTGACGTCAAAGGTCGCACACGGAGATTGAGCGTTTGATGTACATGTTGATAAACTTTATGAAGAGTTAGACGTACAACACTATTTGAGTTAAAAAAAACACGGGTAAAAAACTGTGGCAGTGGATAATACGAGAATTTAATTAGGCTTCGATATTTGTAATAAATAGTTAGCTATTAAAGACAACATTGTCTTGTATCCAATGAAATCTCCCCCGACTTCTCCCCGGTTGCTAGGTACTGAGCGAGTAAGTCACGTGACACAAACATGACCTCTTTTGGTCGATTTTTTTTATAGTAAGGGTATTTCTTGGCAATTGCAATAATTTGAGAAGGATTTGAAGCAAAAGTATGATCAATTAATTAGTTTGAATATGTTTGTAGTCCAAATATATCATCAAATCACCCAGTTTGTACGCGGGAATGTATCTTTAAAACACAGATCCTATTTCGTTTCGTTTTTTTTATAGTTCAAAATTTCGTTTTACTTGCCTTTGCTACATTAGAACCTGGAAAGTTGTTGTCATTGACGTGTTCTGGATAATGTGAGGGATAAGCCAATGAAACGGTCTGTTTCGGCGAGATTTTGGCGTGAGGTGCACGGAATTGTGGGGAATCCTCTAGAAACATCAATGCTGACGTTATACAGTCAAAAGCCGTTCGTATGACCTATGACGCGACCTCCCAAAACAACTGGTCAGATCTTTATGTAATCTTTATCTTTATCGAAATTATAAAAAAACAAAACGAAATATAGATCTGTATTTTAATCAGATTGCAAAAAACAGGGTCGGCGATTTGGGCTATAGCAAATAAGGTCGGTCAGTCGACGATTTGGGATAAAACAAATAGGGTAGGTCGGTCGGCGATTTGGGCTAAAAAAAAATAGGGTCGGTTAGGTAACCGCATACTAAACTAACGCTGTCTGTCTACAATTAGCTTCGCTTGAGAACAGACACTAAGCTAGTTGACCGACATTTTAAGTCCTAAATCGACGATTTTAGTCGAAAACACTAAGTATACTTCGAGAATTTTGAGATGTATTTATTCCACTGATTAATAAAATAGAAAATCTTTACTTAGTCTTTGTGTGTATGACAGATGTGAAACGGAATAGAGCCACATTATTATTTTTTGGATATGGCGGCCATTTAGGGCAGAGATCTATTCTTGAAGTAGTTAGTTCTCTGTGTGCAGAATGGGGAAACCGTAAACACAGCCGTGTGCCGTGTATACCTTTTTTTAAATTTTGGGCTATCCCCGAGATCCATTCATTTAATCTGATATGTACGTTTGTTTGTGATTTATGCGTATTGTGTCTTATCCGTAGATTTGTTTTGTGTATTTGTGTGTGGTGCAGCCCCCCTGCACTTACTAACAGTATGGCTTTGATTAGATTTAGTGAGAATTTGAGGCCGATTGGGTCCCCGCGAGTCTTGTCAAATAACACCGCTTTCGTGCCGTATTAAAATGTTCTCGTTTCTGGACATTTGTAATTATCATTTCACTAAAACAGACCCGGGGGGGCGCTAAAACTGTTCCGAAACATTCTAACCCAAAAATAAATTAGTGGATAATTTTATGGATACACAATTACTGAGTTTAATACTAAGCGACGTTTCAACGAGTATACTCTCATCTTTATCAAGTAAATGATACAGGTATGTGAATAGTAGACAAATATATACACAATATGCAACAAAAATAACAATTAAATACAATTAAAACTTAACACCTTTGATTAGGGGCCATTTACAACAAACCCTAGACAACGGAAACTCTTACAGGGATTAAAAGGAGGGGATTCCTATTATTTATAAATGACAATCAAAGAAAATAAATTATTAAACTGGCCGACTTTCACAAATTATTATTGGCTTTTGATGACCGTTAAAGATAACACTAAATAGTCTGGAACTGTCTTGACTTGTCAAAAAGTTGTTTTTTGTGGAGTAATAAGAATATTATCATATTATAGAATTTACCCATATTCAAATTAAACAATCCATACTTCCTGACTGTAATTAAGGACAGCAGCACATTCGAGACCGTTGACCCTGTATTGAACACTCTGAACAGAGTGTGCGTACCTCGTAATACCTATAGCGGGATATACATTGACCAGAAGAACTACTTATATAATTGAACATGGTCTTTGTAAACGAATATCACCTACTTTGATCTTCTTCTTGTCCTGTATGGTTTCAGGAATTGTTGTTATAGATTTCTGTATAAATTATCCTCATAATATTTGTATTACTGTATTAGCTTGATAACGTTGAGAGAAAACTCTTCGAAACGTCGCCCAAATAAATAAGTAGCTGTTTTTTCCAAAAGTATGTGGTATAGTTTATTGCTCTATTCAGTTACTAAATGCCTCTTAAAGTTTACAATCATGTTTGCTAATAGCTTATTTATAGAAGTGGAAGGGAGGGGTGGCTCGGTAAATAAGACAGGATTTCACTAACTAGGCGATACCTGGCTAGATCATCCTGTTGGCCGAAAAGGTACCTTGGGAATTTCCAACCTGGTTCCCCTTAGTTAATGATGGAAGACGGAGGTACTGGCAAGGAAGGGCATGCGTCTAGGGGTTCGGATGAAATGACAACCCGGGGTCTCATGTATAGCATTAGCAGCATCTTAACGGTCCCTTGATACTTGAATTCGGAGTAAGATTAGGACGTAGCGCTGCTGTCCGAAATCAAATTGTACCCAATGTCCCATTGCATGGCATATGTACCTCTTCATTATAGCCCGGTCGGTGCAATACGGCAGGGAGGTGAGGAGGGAGATGGCCGAATGGTTAGCGCGTGTGCGTTGTATCATAAGGTCTGTCATTGAGTCAACAGGCCGGTTGTACGTGACAAGGAGTAGGGTAGCATGTACATCCTCGTGGGTTTTCTCCGGGTCCTCCGGTTTCCTCCCACTGCTAAAGACCCCTACGCGCAAGCGAATTATTGAAATAAACCGTATGTTACTCCAGAATTGACATAGTTTGTGTCAAGTGGACTTTAAATCCCCCTCTCTCTCTCTCTTTCTCTCTCTCTTCTCTCTCTCTCAAAACATCAGTCGGACGTAAAACCCCATTTCATTTATAGACAGAAGAAAAATGTAAACGACAGAGTTATATCAGAAGCTATAATACGTGTTCTATCAACTTCTATCATGAGTCATGGACCGTTTAACTAATAGCTTCAAAAAAACAAATCCTTCCCATTTCGCCTGGAAACTTCCTTCTTTGATCCCATCAGTAACATGTCCTGCCCTTAACGTTTTAGAAATCTGTAGTTTGTTCCACCGACTTATCACGTTATAGATAAATCAATAATGGCGGTCTCTGGGCTAATATGATAAGCTAACCATTTCACTGTAATAGCCTTTTAAAAGGAACTATCTCTCAATATGCCATTAACAATATAATCCCATAAAAGAGGCAGGAAACCTTTGAATAATGATAAAAGGTATACAAAAAAATTCCAAAGCCACGGTGAATTCAAAACAAGTCTCAGACATTAAAGAAGCCTCAATCTGATCCTATTTCGTTTCGTTTTTTATAGTTCGAAATTTCGTTTTATTAGTCTTTTTACTTGTCTTTACTACACTAGGATCTGGAAGAGATGTTGTATATCCCGCGTTCTGGATGATGTGACGGATTAGCCAATGAAACGGTCTGTTACGGCGAGTTTTTGGCGTGAGGTGCACAGAACTGTGGGTAATCCACTAGAAACACCAACGCTGATTGGTCAATCAAATGTCTGACCTCATAGGGTCAAAGACCGCTCGCATGACCTCTGACGCGACCTTCCATTACCGCTGGGCAGATCTTAATGTAGTGTAGGCCATCGAAAGTATATAAAAAAACGAAATTTGAATCAGATTGAACGAAGTCTATTATCACTAGAAAATGTTTAGTCTGCAAATAAATTTCCCATCCTCGGAAGAGAGGAAATATCCATAATGCTAAGTTCCCACAGTCGTGCGATGCGTTACGATAGGATTGTCCCTGTTGAGTCCACGATCTGGTATGTGAAGATACGTTCGGATACGTTTCGATACGATCAACACAACTACTACGACTTACCTCAATATATAATAAGACCTAATAGGATTACCACGAATTAAAACCGCGATAATGGGGAACTAGCATAAAGCAGGCTCGCAATTAACCTGCGTTTGTGTAACAATGAACCCGATGAACAGAAAATTGGATTTTAGACCGTTTGATTTGGTTTTGATTGAGCAAACTCGTTCTACCCGAGTAATGGTTTAATGGCCGTATCATTTGTTAATGTCTGATATTCTTCTAGCCACGGCGGTTTGTTAAACATTACGAGTATTTTGTTTAAATTCCTGGCGCATGTTCAGTAACTTGGGCGACCTTCTGTTATAATTTGTTCACGACTAGTGGTGGGAACTAGACACCGAACACAGATGGTCCGGACCATCCTCTGTTCAAAGATGGCTGCCCTCATGGACAAAAATTCCTTGTAATTTGACTTTACTTTTTGCACAAATAATGCGTAATTTTTAGACATAGATTCAGACATCAGAGACAAAAAAAAACCCAAATATCTGTTTATTGAAGTATCAACAATTTAAAATTCTTTTAAAGGACCCAAGTCCGTAACTCAAAATCCTCCAAAATCTTCGACATCGAAAACACGAATTATTGGTCAATTTAAATCAACATTGATGATGTAAACTTACCGGGAAAAGATGAGCTTCTGATATCC